TGACCATCTATTGACCACTTTTGCTGTCTTTCCTTCATTTTATCATCCATCTCGCTTCGGATATCGCCTTGATCATTATATTCATCTTGTTCTTTGCACTGTGTTTGGTCAGAATTGCGAAAAATCTACATTTGTCGAGCATCAACAATTCGCTACAGACTAACGACGGTGTGCACTTGGGGCATAATCAAGCTTGTTCACTTTCGCGCAATAATGAGGTTCATGGCATTTGGTACAGAGGCCCCACTCATAAAAAGTCCAACTCAAGCCCTACGGTCCAGTTGTTGTCTGGTCCCGCTCCTTCTCTACACCTTCTGCCGACCGCCAGACCGCATCCGGCAAAATCACACCACCGCTTTCGGCCATTTGCCAGCGGCTGATATTCCCATGCCACCTCTCACTGGTGCTGTTTTTCTGTGAGCGTCCGTCTTATCTTCTCTCGTTCATCTCCTTTCTGGCGCGTGTTTTGCCTAAAATTCTGAAAGTGGCCCCTTATTTTATTGTCCCCTGACGCCAATCTGGCCTGGATTTGCAATCTTGCTCATTTGTTGCACAAAAAGTATTTTGATGCCCCGCGAAAAAATGGCTTTTGGTGAACAATCCGCTTGCGTTACATCTGCATCTACACGTTTTTGTGTGCTAGTGTATGTATGCGTGAATGTGTGTGTATGTCTAAGAGAGAGAGAGATAGATAGATAGAGAGACTGTGAATAGAGAAATGAGGCAATATTTGTGCGTTGCTGAGGCAGTTCGGCCAAGAGTTTATCTCTCATGACCTAAGCTGAGAGATTTTGGCTAGGCATTTTTTTACTGGAGCTTTGACAACTTCTATAACCCAAATAATATGTAATATGAAAAATTACGTTCAACAGATGGTTTATGCAAATGAATAGAATCCTTAGCTTTTATCATTTTCAGTCGAAGTCTTTATTTCTTTTTAAATAAACGCTGAAACTATGGCAACCTAATTCTGAATGCATGCAGCCAGGCAGGCTCAGTTTCCGACATTTTCAATGAAATATATGAAGTGTATTCATTATATTTTATTTCAAGTGATTAATGACTGGTAGTTGAATTTTTCCACAATGAGTATGAGTAGAGCTGACGCTTCCATTGAATATCGCATGACATTTCTTTCCAAGAAGGTATTCTCATCCCGGCTGGTTAGGACTACAGTTTATACCTCGCCCAAAGCTTATCAACGCCCCCATCGGGACTCGAACCATGACAGCGAAGCGTGCAATCTCGACAAGTTCACCACTACACCACATTGCCACGAGTGCCTTTGGGTCACAGGGCGATGTGAATTTCAGGTAAAGCCAGGCATTTTTACGATATCACATTCTGTGGTGGACCTTTCGATGAAACGAAGTTGTATTTGCTTTAATAATCGACTACATTACTTATTTTTGATTTATAAGTAGGTTTTTGAGACTTCCAGTAAATAAGTTATCTGAGATGTGGAAAGCCATATCAGCTTAAACGAAATTGAGTGAATATCTCCTATATAACTTATCTACTGACAGTCTATAAACCCTAATTTTAAAAGAAAAACTTTTCATGAGTTTCTGTTGTAGACCACTGGTTTTAATCCTGATTGTTTGGATCTTTGGATCTTTAGGACAAGCTCTCCTACTGTCTCAGACCCAACGTGAGATTGTGAAAATGAAATAAGGATGTGTTAGTTATGCCAGACCGTTAGAAAGTAATAAGTTGAGCACAGCAAATACTTTAGCCTCTTCAGAACTCGTCTGTTCCAGGCAGAAGCATTCTCGAATACTCATACTAAAGACTAAGGGAAGCGTCTTTCCCTCCCTCTCGTCTGGAGATTCAACACTTAACAACTGAATTACCAATACTGGACTAAAATTTCCTCAGAAGTCGTCATAAAATCGTGACAAGAGGCAAAAAACATCCTTTTGGCTTGTGCATTATAAAATATTCATTTTGCGAATCGGTTGCTTCAATATGTTGTTTTTACTTTCCTGAAAGACTCTCCAAGTATTGTGCACTTTACTGACTGCAGTCGTGACGGCTTCACTTCGCCTTTTAAGAATGCATACCGAGAAATGAAAGGAATAATAAAAAGGCTAATTTGACATATATCCATA